GGTGCTGGTGCTGCTGCTGCTGCTGCTGCTGCTGCTGCTGCTGCTGCTGCTGCTGCTGCTGCTGCTGCTGCTGCTGCTGCTGCTGCTGCTGCTGCTGCTGCTGGAAGTGCGGCTGCCGCGGCGGCTGCTGCTGCTGCTGCCGGTGGTGGTGGCTGAAGTTCGCCTGCTGATTCTGGTTGTAACCGACGCAGCCGCCGCTGCGGCGGCCGCCGGCTTGCGCCCACGGCTCAACCCCCGCCAGCTGCCCTGACCAGCGGTCAGACCCGCCCGGCAGCGGCCTTGGCTGCCTCTGCCTCTGCCGCCGCTGTCGCTGTGGCTGCTGCTCCTGCTCCCGCTGCTTGTTGGCCCGCGAGGCCTCCCTCCCGTACTCCTCGTCCTCCTCGGACATCGCGTCTGCCCAGCTGCCTGTTACGATGGCAGGCATCGGCTCCGAGCGTCCGCCCCCGACTTGCAGGGGCAGGACGCGCCGCGCCGGCTGCTGGTAGTGGGCACCCATCACCGCCACGCGCTCCTGTGCATTGGAAGCGGGCACGGCCGCGCGCAGTCCTTGGTTAGATGATATCGATGACGCTTGATCAGGTAGCGCAGCGCTGCGCTGAGCGAACGTCATGGGCGGCTTGCACCAACCCTGAGGCGTTGCAGGCCTCATGGCTAAAAGAGCCACCTGCTGGCCGCATCGCATACCACGAGGCTAAGCATGCCCTGCCATCTGACTTCCCACCGCATCAGAAGCGGAAGCGCCACCAGCGACAGCAGCAGCTAACGGCAGCGGCGCCGGCCCTGCGTCACCGCATCGCTGCAAGCAAGCGGGTGACCTAGGGCCTTTTCCCTGTCTGACAGAACCCTTCCCACCCAATGGCCACTCACCCTGTCGGCTCTCTTCGCGGGCTTCCCGGTGGCGGCAGTCGGGCTCCGAAGGCTGCTCCCAGCAGCGCTGGCGGTGCTTGAGGGGGCGGAGGCATTGCTCGGTGCCTGCAGGCCCCGCAGCGCCTGGGAGGGTTCAGAAGGCAAAATGGTGGTTGGTTTCAAGGGGGAAGGTGGGAGAATGTAGGGATGACTGATACGGGTGCGGCGGCTTTGCTGCTCGTGCATGTTGACAAAAGCGAAGCAGGAGTGAAGGCGTCTCCCAGTCAGGCGTGCGCCAGGGATCAAGCCACCTACGAGGCCCCCCAACCTGTGCCCAGCAGCCGCGGCCAGCAGGCAGGCAGGCAGGCATGCAGGCAGGCAGGCAGGCAGGCAGGCAGGCGGGTGCGCACCTCGATCAGCTCAGGCGCGATGTCTGTGGCCATGGACGCGGCGCCCGGGCCAAGGGCGGGCCGCAGCACGTCCAGCGCGTGGAGGCAGCCGCGGAAGGCCACCTCCAGTAACTCGAGATTGGCGGCGGTGCCGTTCGGAATGACGTCGCCGCGGATCAGCTCCCCCTCCTTGCCCCACACCAGGGCCGAGAAGCTGTGGGTTGGTGGTGGTGCAAGGGCAGCGGTGAGAGGTGTGGCAAGGGAAGATGGTTCCCGGCAGGCGCCTGAGCCCGTCGGGGCCCAGATCCTCCGCAGCAGGCGCCGGCGCAGGGAGGCGCGCACGCACCCAAAACACACGGCCCCCGCGGGCCGCGGCTGGCGCCCCCAAACGTGGACGCGGCGGGCTGGGCCTTGCAAGGCGTCTTAGGCTTGCGCACGCCAGAAAGGCCCCACCCCTCAGTGCAATACAGTAAACACATGGACAAGCAAGCCATGGGCCTCACTCTGGGTGCTCGATGCTGATCTTGTGGAGCGCCTCCTGGCAGGCGTGGCCGAGGCGCACGCGCTGCCTGTAGACGGTCACCGTCAGGGAGCCGTCCTCGGGGTTCACAATCATCTTGTACCTGGAAGAGTGAGCCGGCAGGCTGCATGCATGCGCGAGGTGTGGGCACAGGGGAATACATTAAAGGTGGGGGTGGGGTAGGGCAGATATGACGAGAAGCGTCGAGTAAAGGGCGACGGCGCGGCAACTTTCTGGCACATGCTGACATGCACGTTTGTCTGGTTTGGGACGCGGGCCGGGCGGGACACGTCGCGCGCGCACTTGTTTGCCGCTTCGGTGTACTTGGCCAGCGCATGGGGAGGCAGCCCGCCCTCCGCGCCGCCGCGCGCGCCGCCTGCGTGCAAGGGGACAAGCCAAGCAGGTGTGAACGCATGGGCAGTGTGGTTGCGACGGCAGGGCGTAATCTGCAGAGGTGTGCATGTGCAACATGCATAGAGCAGTGCATCGATCAAAGGTTTTGGCGCCTCACGCGGCACCATGCGGCGGCTGCTCACCGTCCTCCTGCTGCGTGGCGGCCCTGAGGGGGGCGGCGGCGGCCTCCAGCAGCCGAGGCTCCGCCTGCGGCGCCCAGAGCCGCGCGCCCGCGATGTCCTGGGGGTGTGCGCAAGGATGTGGCGCAGAGCGGGCGTGAGCGCGCGTCCAACCTGTACTTGACCCAATCCAGAGCAACAAGCGCGGATCAAGGTTCAAGGCGTTGGTCGCCGCGCGCGGGGGTACAGCTGCCGCGCTTTTCCCTTTTACGGCGTGATGCACTTTCTCGCACAAACTTCTCGCAGCCCGCAGCCCGCAGCCTGCATCACCTCGCCCCGGCCTACCGTGCACGCCGTGGTGGTGCCTCCGAGCTCGACGCTGGCGTGCGCGGCGGAGCTGATGTCGTCAAACGAACCCTGCACCCAGTGCAGCAATTCAGGGGAGGATCAGGGTTAGGGTTGAGGTTGGTATGGTTAGGTGAAGCGCGGTGCGGATGAGGCCGCCGCTCAAGTAGCCCTGTGCGTTGTGCCTTGCCTGGCGACAAGCAAACAAAAACATAACGGGCCGGCCGCCGAGCAAGCTTGCCAGGGGGCTGCCACCCCCAGGGAGTCTCCAACCCTGCAGGCAGCTTGCGCTCTCAATCATTTACACACGCGTTCGGGGCGCATGGCCGCAAGCACCCTGGGACGGCGGCCCACGCACCTGCTGGTCGTCATCACCAGCTGGCATGCCCTTGGCGGGTGAGCTGGGGCGGCTCCGCGAGCCAGCACCAGTGTTCGGCGGGTTGGAGGGGAAGGCGTCCAACTGAAACCTGTACACCTGATGAACCCCCAATGAATGCAGCGCGGGGAGAAGTGCGAGAGCGGTGTGGGTGAGGGCCGGGCCGGAGAAAGCTCGGCGGGGTGCTGGCCTTTGAAGCGGCGGCATCGTCAGCCCCATGGCGTGGGTGCTGGGCGCGTTACAGCGCGGCTGGTGTTCCAGCACGAGCCGCATTGCGGTATTACTGGTGCAGTCGTGGCAGCACGAGCCGTGGCAACCAGGGTGGCGCCAAGCCAGTCTCATACGCCCCCAGTGCGTGCATGTGCTGGCGCGCCTCTGCGCGTGCCAAGCATGGACTCACTTGGCCGCGGCCGGCATGGCAGGTGCCCTCACCCTCCGGGAAGAAAGTGATGAGGACACAATCCCCTTTCCGCACATCCTGCTTGTCGGCGTCTGCGCATTTGGGGTGGGAGGAGTGCGGTAGGCCGCAATCGGCAGTTGTGGTGCGTGGCAATGGATTGGCGGCAGTGGGGCGAGCAGCATACCATGAGCTTGGCCCAGGGGTGCATGGCTGAGCAGAGCCAAGGACACGCCCAGCCTCTCACAGTGCTGCAGGTCGCCGCTGGGGCGGGGTCGCATGCACAGAGGACGCTGCATGCGTGCATGTATGTGGGGCCACGCCATGCACATGACGATGCTCGGGATTGTGGTGCAGCGGCAACACCTACCCACGCAGGACACCAGCTCTGCCTCCTCCTGCACGCCCCCCTCCGCGGCCTTGCCCTCCTGGATGTCGCCAGCCACCACGTGGATTGTGATGGCGGCAGGCGCCGTCGATGCCTTGCTGCCCTCCGACGGCGATGCGGCGGCCACCTCCCCGGTCATCAGCGCTGCGCCCGCATCATCGCCCCTGCAGTGTGTGTATAGGCAGCGGAAGAGGATGAGGGCAATCCGCAGCCATAAACAATGCATGCGCGCACCAGTGCAGGACTGCCGAGCAGCACAGGGACGCTGTGTAGCGGCACACACTGCGAGCAGCGCAGCGCACACGCAGCAGGTCAACGCACCTGTCCTCGGCCGGCGCAATTGCCACGCTGCCTAGCCGCTTGTAGGCGGCGCAGAAGGCCTCCACAGTCCCCACCGCAGCTCCTGCCGCGTAGTAGCCCCAAGAAAGAGCCTCCTCGGCCTTGTCGGGCCCGAGGGCTATCGCCAGGAGCCCCTGCAGCGTGGGATCCGCGCGAGGGTTATGTAAAAGGGAGCTATAGGAGCACGATCTCCGCACTCTACGATCGCTGCTGGGCCGCGCAGACGTCGCCACGCAGCGAAAACAGCAGTGGACCCAGCCCCGGGGTCCGCTCACCTCGGCGCCTGCTGCTGCTACTTGGAACGCCATATGCGCCATGCCTGACGCCATATCTCTCCTCGTTGCCGCCAGCGAAGGGCACTGTCCTCAAATCAACTCGCCCGAAAGCGGGTTTGACTCCATCAAGGTCGTAAAGCAAGAAAATGTGTTTATATGTGAAGACCTATGGTCAATCGGAACAAAGCGTTGACGCTGCTCAAGCAAGCGGTGGCGAGCAGTCTGCAGCGGAAGCTGCACAGCCCCTGGTCCTCTTGCATTGTTGTACCAGCAGGCCGCTGCTGAGGTACGGTATTGTGTGCGTATCCAACACAGGCACACCAGGAATGACTCGCATACCTCACTGTTTGCGCTTTGAGTCTTCATCCCTGTGCTGTATGGAGTGACTCTGGCCTGCCCCATGTACTCCGTCCTGCTGGCCACAGCGATGCCACCACACCCCTCCATTGCTGCGGCGGCCCAGTTGGCATGGGCGACCTCAGCCCACGACATCCAGGTGAAGGTATCAATCAAGCCCAAGCAAAGAGTGTGCTGATACAGGGCCAGCGGTGTGGTGCGTGGCAGGCGACGGTGTGATGCATTCTGTTCCTTGTGCAGATTGTTCAACAGTTTTGCAAGACATCAGTGCCTCTGTGGCGTTCATGCTTAACTGCAACGCTTCAATAATCAACGGTGAGTCAGCTGCTGAAATGCTCCGCTTCTCTGCAGCCCCCCATGGGTTGAAACCTGCAAGCTGGGGCTGGCTTTGAGGGTGGACCCTTCGATAAAGCCGACTGCCGTTGGGTGATGGCACACCAGCAGTGTGCTGATCGACCCAGACCCCTACCCTGAGCGCAACAAATCCTTCACCAACTGGCATACGGTGTCCTCGCAGCTGTAAGGGCAGGGCCACAACACGAGCGAGTGCAGAACGGTGCAAGGCCACCACTGCAAGCATGGCAAGTTTCAAAAGCCGTACCGCACAAACGAGCCAGGAGGCCAGCCCCGATGCATGGTTCTGTTGTAATTTAAGTTTGCATACTGCGCAGCAAGTTTGGGCGGCGACCGGCCGTGACACGCAAATAGACCTCGGCGCACACTGCAGCTTCGGTTGCCCACGCCGAGGCCGCCCTCTTGTGACTATTTGTAGCATCTTCGGATCCGCGTCGTGGTCTGTGCGTGCGGCCTCAGCAGCGGTAGGCTGCGTGCCACCGCCGACGCTGACCAGATGCAGCCGAGTTCGAACAGCTCGAGCTGTGCTCATCAGCTGACACGCTCTGAGCCCGGCCCCATGGAACCAGATGGATGGGCAGCAGCAGCTGCTAGCTCGTGAATTGCGGGTTAAACAATGGCAAAACACGGTGCCTGTGTGTCTGCAGCAGGTGAACCCCCACCCCACCGGGAAGGCATCTTGTGCTCAGGTACACAGCAACGGCCCAGCCAACGCAGGAGGCCGCGTGGCCGCCAATTGCGCTTGGCGGCGTTAAAGCCTACTCTGACCCCAAACCTGCACATAGGTGCTGCATTTAGGGCCAATATGCATATAGGGTTCCTCATCACGCCCTAGTGCCTTGCAGGCATGCAGGTCATGGCAGAGGTGCGCGCGGGTGAAGCGAGCAGGCAGCTGCCACGGGTCACTGGTGCTGCTGTAAGAGGGGATAGTGCGCTTGCGTCCATGTACATGCGTCGGTCTGTCAGTGGGGAGTGCCTGCCCGCTCCAGGCACACGGCCGCGCCGGGCGCGCCGGGCGGCTGCAGGCGCCTGGCGGCACCGCGCATGCTGCTTTGGGCCGCCGCGACCGCCGGCGGCTCAAGCGGGCCTGACTGCGCCCGCTGCCGCGCGCCCGAGCCCAGCGAGGTCGGGCCCGACCAGCCCCGAGCTGCCGTCGGCCCCCATTCAGCGAGGTGTTGCCATGCTCGCGGCGCAGCCGGTGGCATCGCAGCGGTTGCTGCAGCTACAGGACAACGGCTCGGCGCACAGCCTGCATGCGGGTCTGCTGACAGGGCGCCGCCGTCGAGGCGGTGGTGCACGCGCCCTGAGCACCGTCTCGTGGACAAGGGGGGCCGGTCAGGGTACCCCTTGTGTGACGCCGAGGCATGGGCGGCGCCCACAGGTGCGCAGCTTGTGGCGCTGCGGCGGCTGTGGATCGAGCGCGGCCATGGGATGGCGAAGGGCGGGGGGTTGTCGGCTCCGTTGCACATGCGGCGTGGACGCTTTCCGCCGGCGGCGCTGTGCACATCTGGGGGCTGGGGTGGGGCGCGGTGCAAGGACGCCGCATGAAGCGTCGGAGGGGCGGTGCTTCGCCTGATTGTGTCACACTCACAGACTCTTTTATGGGCCCTGAGATCGGAATCTGCGTCCACCTCCAAGGCCAACTTGTAAAAGCAGTGCGACAGAAGGCGGCTGGACAACGGCTGTCAACCTTCAGCCAACCACCTCCAGCATCACCTCCAGTGACGCCCAGAGACTGGCAGCAATCAGCTCGGTGGGAGCTGGTCCAGGTTTGCGCCGGCATGTTGCGGAGGTATGGCGCCCTGTCCCCCGAATGGCAGGCCGGCGAATGCACATCGCAGCGAGCGCACTTGGGGGACACAGCAGCACTGCACACCCCTGCACAAGGAGAGCACACGATGACCGGGAGCACAAAGGCGACGTGGATGGTGCGAAAATGTTAAGGAATGCAACGTTGATTCGACGTGCAACCGTTTGCGGCTTGCCATTGGCATAACTGACCTATAGATCAGGATTGCGCGAGCGCTTCGCAGAACTGACAGTACGGTAACGCGCACACAGCAGTTCAGCCATATGTCGCTGACCATGCATTCTACGCTGCATAGCGTCAGCTCTTAGACTTGCAGGCCACCTGGGCACAGGGATGGACGACGGTCGCGGAGCGACAGGTGTGCGGCTGCTGCGAAGACGACGGCACGGGGGGCGACAGCGGCCCCTGTGCTTCCTGGGCTGTTTGTAGCCGCAGCCACGGCCCCAAGCGAATCAAATACCAAACTCATGACCGGCCCGCCGCCAAGCGGCGCGCCCATGATGCGCCCGCCAAGCCAGGACCAGCGCCCGCGCCGTCATCCGCCGCGGGCGAACGCACAACGCAGCGCCCTCGAGGGGCGTGGCCGGCGGCGGCGCGGGGGCCGCGCTGCAGCCGAGCAGCTGCCGCCTCTCAACAAAGACGCAGCAGATACGGTGGTGCGGCCGGCGATGCAGTGGGGCCGCGAGGAGGAGGAACGTACCGGGCTTCCATCCAGCAGCGGCATCATGGTGGGCCAAACCCCCACGGCGCAGCGCTGGCGTGGCTACCGCCACAGTGCGCCCCCCCCCTCCCCCGGCCGCACAATGAAAGCACGGAAGCCCCTTGCGTTTTGGCCTCCAATCCTATTCACGCCATCAAGCGCGCGTCTGGCTGCCGTGCTTGATGACACCTCCATGATGAATGCCAAGCAAGCTACCGCGGGCGCCCCGTCTCCGCTTATGTGCACCGATCGCCCATCAGACGGCATGATGCGCTCTCCTTGAACGTGCGGGTCCCCGCCTTGTGGCCCACGTGTGATCAAACCGTCAACCCCAGGTGCTGGATGACGACGGGCGCTACTACGCGGCGCGAGTCATCTCTCTGCACCCCACCAAGGGGGCGCGCATGCCGTTTGAGGGCTATGAGGAGGAGGGGGCCTTCACGCTGACACGCGGCGAGCTGCGCTGGCGCGCGGTCGGACGCTGCGCAGAGGCGCCCGCCGCGTGGCGGCGCGTCGGCGGCGGCGGCGCGCACGTGCCCGTTGGGCTCGGCGGCGGGGGCCCGTAGCGCGACGCGGCGGGCGCGGGTCAGGACGGCGCAGGTGGGGCAGGCGGCGACGAGGAGACTGAACAGGAGGGTCCCGCGGCGCCGCGCGGAAGCGGCGCGCGGGCGCCGCTGGCGCGGGTGGTGTCGCTGATTGTTGCGCTGGAGGTCCCGGGTGAGGCGCCTAACACGGGTGGCTGACCCGCTGCTGCCTGGGCACTGGCTTTATTTGCCCAGCTCGTGAGTGCCGGATGCTAATGCAACAGGGGAACCTCGTTGCATAGACAAAGCCGGCGGGGCGCGGGCGGCGTTGGCACCTGCATTCGATTGTCCTCGATTGACGCCCCCGATGGCACCCAGCCTTCATAATCAATCAGATTCAATTGAAATATAGCGCCAACATGCACTCGATCATCCGACGGCCCCCGCCAACAACGAGCGACGCGGCGCCCCGAGGCGTCGCTGCAGAACACCAACTGCCAACAAACCCAACTTCGATTCGCTTTGTTTACGTCCATCCTGAATCATGCTGACAGCGCCTCCACCTCGCCATCTTTCTGCTGCTGCGACCGGACGCCGCCATCCGCTTTGTTTTGCGCCTCTATTTCTTGCCGGCAGTGTGATGTTTCGCGTCGCAACACAATGCATGTCTGCGTTTTGCTGCTGGTGCATGTGATGCAAAAAGGGAACATGATTTAGGGATTTTTAGGCTTCTGCAAACCTTTGTAAACCCAACCGACAATTGCTGCTTCCCCAGCCTCACACCATTCGTCACACGCACGCGCCGGCGAGACGCTGTGGCATTGGCCCCGCCTGCATCCTTTGCCAAGACTGCTGAGTTGCAAATTTCCAAGGGTTGGGGACGTGTCTCAGATGCACACCATGCTGCAAGCAAGGCAACAAGGCAAAGAGCAGTGCGCACAAGCTTCCAAGGAAGGAAGCCGGGGCCCTTAGGCGAGTCGCGACCACAAAGCAGCGCTGAAAGCTGCCGCCACTGTGCGCGCGACCGCCGGGCGAATCACCAGTAAATTTGCAAACCCCGGGCGGCAGCAGTCGGGTGGCTGCATGCAGCCTGCACGGCAACCGGAGCGTCACACCGACGCTGGCCGCCGCGGCCACGCAAGGCCAGATCATCATCTGGTTTGGCTAAACGCGCTGCATTATTGTGAAGCTCATAAGTAAACAAGCGGAGAGATGAAACTGAATGCCAAAGCCTGGTATATGAAATCGACCATCAGGGCCTGGTGCATTGTGAGTGATCGGGTGGGGCCAAAAAGGGGTAAGATGACAACAGGTGACGCCAGCCGAGGCAGAAGGGGTTGATGAGCCAGTGCCTTGGGCACTGCCTTTGAGGATGCATGGGGTGGATGCATTCGACTTGGCGTGGCATTGGAAGACGGGAGTACGGGCGAGGAAGAATGAGGGTGAACGGAGGCGCACGCACGCAGGCAGCTGCTTCACACTTTTGTGGTAAGGCGCTAGTGTGCCGAGTGCCTGCGCAGGGGCAACGGCTTATTGACCAAATGCACCATGCCGGGCGCAACGGCGCCGCCGCCTGCGGCGGTCGCCGCCCTTCTTGCACGCGCAATCTGCTGGCCGGGCTTGGAAGCGGTGCAGGACGGAGGAAGTATAGTAAGCCGCCGTCGATGCCTCTGCATTTTTTAAAGCAGGGAATGGTACACAGGCGCCCCGGCGCAGTCCGACGTGCAGTGAGGCGTCCAAAAGCTGCTACAATGCGACATCCCCTGGATACAACACCCTTGCGCCCAGTGCTGATTTCTGGTCCAGTGCCTTGGAAGCCGGTCATTGCTTGGATTGCTTAGCCTGCTGCTGCTCCGGCCACGGATGCATCAACGCGTGTGATCGCCGTCTCACAGCAGTCGCCGGTTAGGGCCAGCGTGGCGGAGCTGCGGGCGAGACAGACGTGGTAGCACGAAAGGCAGGAGCAGGGTCGGGCGTTTCGCGCAGGTGCCCGCGAACAGCTTGAGTCATCAACACCTGCTTCCCCCACAAACCAACCCCGCAGACGCTTGCCCAAAGCACAGCTGCGCCTTTAAGAAGGCCGCGCCCGTCTACTCCACCCGCTGCGGCTGGCAGGCGCCGCTCACCTGGTGAGCCCGCTGTACATGTCCGCCGTCCGCCCCTCGGGCAGCGGCGCCTCCCACGAGCACGCCGTGCCGCCGCCGGGTGCCAGCGTCATGTCCGCGTCGTCGCACGCCGCCGCGGCGCGCAGGTGCTCGTGATCCGGGCTGCAGATCCGGACAGTCACCATGTCCAACACCAGGAACCGTGGCCCGCCGTTGGTGATGCGGACCGTGCCGCGCAGGGTGGTGGCGGCGACGGGTGCCAGCTGGCCTGCTGCCCCAGCACCTGGTGCGGCGGCGTCAGTTGCGGCTGCGCGGATAGGGGCCGTCTGGTTGCCCCAGGCCTCTATTGTGACCGACTGCATGACAGGCAAGCAGGCCATGGCCTGTTCTGAGAGGGAGCGGCGCCCTCGCGAAGAGTGGTGCGGCTGGTGGTGCTGGTGCCGCCGCCCCCGCTGGACTAGCCGCTGCTGCTGCTGCCGGAGCTGCTGCTGCTGTCGCAAGCGCTGCCGCTGCTGCTGCTGCTGCTGCTGCTGCCGCTGGCGTTGCTTCTGTTTCAAGAGTGCGTCACTGGCAGGTGAAAGCGGGCTAGGTCCTGCACCCCACTGCTCGCCAAGCGCCGCCATCTCGCCAGCCGCCGCGCCTCCTAGCAGCTGCGACGCTGGCAGTGCGCCAGCCAAAGCTCCGCCTGTCCCTGCCATCACGATCAAGCGCCGAACCCCCTGCTGTGCCGGTAGCTCCGGTGCTGATGCCGCCGCCGCTGCTGCTGCGTTGGCTGGTGCGTCGCGCAACGACCGCCGGTTGCTGCTGCCTGCAGCCAATTCGGCCGCTGTTGCTCGCCGTTCATCGTGGACTCCGCGCCGCGCGCTAGGGCTGGACGCATGTGATGTGGAAGCAGCTGCAAGACAGAAATGGCGATAGCGGCGGTGCAGGCGGATAACTTGTGAGGGCGCATGAGCCAGGAAGTGGTGGCGGCAGCGGCAGTGGCGGCAGCAGCGGTGGCACATGTGCACCTGGCTCGTCAGTGCACCGGCGATGTCAAGCCCCCAATTACGCTGCAATTATGAAGAATGACCTACCTGCAATTGATGCGAAAGCTAAGATTGATGTCAGCGCGATCAGCGCGACCCCAGCTCGCATCATCGACGGTTTTGCCGTGATCACCCGATCGAAATTCAAGAGCCACGGAGTTTTTCAGCTGCTGAACTTCGTGCTATTTCATCAGCAGTGCTGGCTGATGTGCCTGCCACCATGCATGCCTGCCACCAGGTGACCACTTCTGCTCCTACTGCGGCAAGCGAGGGCCACGATGCTACTCAATAGGGTAGGCTGGGCGGATTGAACCAACCATGAAGGTTCCAAATGGCAAACGGACAGCATTGACCCAAGTCACACGCGGTTGAACATCGATCACACCGCGCTGTCAGTCTGTTCGGGGTAGTATTTGGTTGTAGTGAGAGAATAAGGATCCAGAATCACTTTTTGTTTTGTAAGATGCCTGGCGGCCGGCTTTTTGCCCGCCTGATGACACCGGCACAAGTGCCCAATGGGTGAGTCTGCAGACACAAATTGAGCTCACTCGCATCCGTGGGATGCAGGAGTCAGATTCCCAGGCAAAAGAGCCAGATGGAATCTCTTGCAAAATAGTCTCACCACCTTGCACAACAGGTGCGGCTCCAGATCACGTGCTGTGAGACCATGAAGTCACGACAGTCCATGGCAACTTTGTGCAAGGGCGAAGACGCAAGGATCACAACGGTTTGGCGTCTTGAAATCAGACTCATAGCTCGTGCTGACGGCGAGGCGGGCGCAAGACGGAGGGACAAGTCTGAAGGGTAGCTGCTCAGAGGCATCAAACGCCCTCTGGCCTACCTGCCTCGCCCAAAATGGTTGCCGGCCAGGGGTGGCTGAGTGATATCCTTACTGTGCACCAGCCGGCAGAGCTCGTGCACATGGCCATGTTATTCAAGCTGCGCCACTACCTGTGGCGCAACACGCTGCTGGCGAGGGCTTGTGCGTAACAGCCAGCGCAAGTGAGAAGCCATGCCGAGCCCCATCGCACACGAACACATCAGGGCGCAGCGGGCGCGCACGTCGCCGCTGCTACCGGCTGCTGCAGCGATAGCAGGAGGCCCTCCAAGCAGGGCGGGCTAATAATCTTGCGGGGAGGAACACCTCGCCAGACCCAGATGGGGGCCGGTGACTTCATGTACAGCAACTGCATCAGGAACTTGATCAATTCTCGCGCTGCCCTCACCGCTGCGCTGCTCGCTGAGTGATGGGGGCACGCTGTGTCGGGCGGTGCGAGATTCCACAGTGGCTGCATTCAGGACACCCGCCCTGCCACACCGCAGCCCATCTCCCCTCCACTAGTGTAGATACCTCTCCAACACACCCTTGGCCTGGATTGGTTTGGTGATATATCGCGATGGTCGAAATGCAGACCGCAGCAACCAACACTTGTCCGTAAAGAGAGCTGGCTGTGCGGCGCGATGTTCTCGATGCTGCTGATTCGCGCGGCTAACGAGCCGCCCTGACGGCGCTTCCACGCCGGCTGATGTTATCTAGTGCACCTTCGCAGCACTGCGCGCGAGCATGGCAAGCTAGCAACGCGCAGCGACCCCAGCAGCAGAAATGCATACACGGCTCGAGCTCAAGCCACGCCCAGCTGCTTGACGTTTTGGTGCGACGCGGAAACACAGCGTGTCCCCCAGCAAGGCTCCCTGCCAGCTCGACCTGGGTGGTGTTTGCTGGCGTGCAGGCGCCTAGCCCCGGCCGCCGCCGAAGCCCTCGAACATGCGCCTTACACGGTCAGGACCTCGCGGCGTGCTCCAGCCTCTGAGAAACAACTTGCTGGAAAGCAGCGGCGCAGTCAATGCCTTCCGCACAGGGGGCTAAGCTGAGGCCGTGCGGAGCACCCATGCACAAACCAGATGTTATGAAACGAAGTGTCCCGCTAATGTACTGCCAGGGCTGCCGTTGCTGCCCAGAGACTAGTCGCCGCAGCTTCGCCACAACAAACCAAGGCTGCTGCCCCGTGTCACTGGCCGCCCATCCCGTTGATCATAGCCAGCAGCCGCGCGCTCTCTGTCGCATAGTCCAAGGGGTACGCCTGGCGGGCGGAGGCGCGGGGTGACGTCGCAGCGAATCACCACGTTAGTCAGGGCCAGTAGCAGTCAATGGAGGGGGGAGGACGCCGTGGCGAAAGCAGCAATGTCGCGTGTGAGCGCAACAGGTGTTTGGAGCCGTCCAGTCCGGACGCGCCCGCCGCTGTGTCGAGCGGACGCGACCGGCGCCCGGGCGCACCTGCATGACCGTGTACCGCATGCGCCGCTCCCCGTTGTACTCGCGGCTGCGGCCCTGCGCGGGCGACGCGGGTGACACAGGTGACGCCGCGGGGCGGTACGGGGCGTCTGTCAGCGGCGGCCGAAGCAGCAGACGGCCCGGCCGCGACGCCGCGCTCTGGCGGTGGCGCGCGATGCGCCTCTCCTGCCATGATCCCAGAAGAGCCGCCCCGGCTGCCATGCACAGCAGCTGCCCTCCCAGCTGCCGCCTCACTCCATCTCGAAGCCCGCGGCCGCCCCATGCATTGTCATGCCGAGCGGCCCCCCTCCCCCCACCTGCACGTTCATGACCCAGGTCTGCCAGCGCGCCGCCTTGAGCGCCGCGTTGTAGCGCGCCACCCCCTCCTCGCCGCCAGACCGCAGGGAGGCCATCGCGTCCGCCTTGGCGCCCAGGACCGCCTCCGCCTGGGGGGGCATCAACAAGCCGGGGGCCAGGCCGGGACGGGGTGCCGCAGGCTTGGGTGGTGAATCAGGGCACCGTGGCGGCCGTGCTACGCTGTTCAAAACACAAATGCGTTTTGGAACGTACTTGCTGTTTGGGGTATGTATCGAAGTGCTCAATCGCAGCAGCCGCCCCACATCCGGAAGCCAGAAAGCCAGGAAGCCAGGATGTCCCAGATCCCGCAAGTACACCGTTTGCTGCTGGAATTGCGTGATGGATGTGCAATTATGAAGTTTTTTGTCGGAGGCGCACCTCCCGGTTGAAAAGGTTGACGTAAGCCTCCCCGCTGGCGTCAGCCACGCGGCAGCTCAGCACATAGCGGTGCTCCGCAGACTCGATGGTCCTGGGGGGTTGGTTTGTGGGTGGGTTTGTGGGTGGGTTGGTATGTGTAGTTTGCGAGCTACTTGTGCATGATGTTGTGTGTGTGATTGTATGCGTGATTGTTTTGTATGATTGTGCGTATGATTGTTGTGTGTGATTGTGTGAGTATTTGTGTGTTTGTGTGCACGCGGCGCATACTGTTACATGCTGGAGGAAGGCAAGATCTGGGCCAGAAGCATGAGAATCACCAACATTCAAGAGGAACCGACTGCGCAGCGGGCCAGGGGCACCTCTGAGAGCTGCTGTAACGAGGCACTGCTGGAGCTTGCACAAAGCGAGCAAACAGGTGTCCCTTGGGGATGCAAAGGGGGAGCAGCAACAGCCAGCAACCTGGCCACGTACCTGCCCTCCGACTCGGACCAGTACTTGCCGCCCTCCTGCTCCACAACCTTCTTTCCGTTCTCAGGGTTGGCCAGGTAGAACATCGTCTGGGGGCGCGGGGTCAGGGGGGCCCGTGAGGGGTGGCACAGCGATAGAGATGACAGTGGGGGCGTTGCGAATATGACCCATGACTTCAGGCCGTTGTAGGGGCAGTGTTTGCCAGCTGGTTATGTGTTCTTGGTTTCCGCCAGCAACGTCTCCTTCATCCCCAATCCCCCCGCCCTCCTAAAAACCGGGTGTAGTGTACCATACTAAATCATTTCTAATTCTCCTGGGGTCCTGCTTCCAGCGCCCGCTCCTGGACGGGTCCCCCAATCATGCACTCCTAGGCTGGTGTGGGGACCCAGCCAAGCAGAGCCGCCTTGTCCAACCCCTAACCCCACCTGGTCTGGGTTGATGGCGACCACTGTGGCGAGCAGGTTGGCATAGGTGGCCTTGGCATCCGGCGGCGGCACGTCCGCGCCCTCGACCTGCGGTGGTGGGTGCGTTGTTGTGTTTGAGTGTGAGTGTGTGAACGTGTCATTGTGAGTGTGTGTGTGTGTGTGTGTGTGTGAGGGAGGGAATGCGTGTGTGAATGTTTGTGCTTGTGTGTATGAGATATTGTGTTCACACGAGCGCCCGCGTGCCCGGCGAGCCAGAGACGCAACCCCCTGACGTCACTCTGACGTCACGCCACCCACCACGACGTCCGACAGGAAGTTGACCTTGCCGCCGCGCCGCCCGCCCTCGCCGGCCGCGCCGCCGCCCGCCGCGCCCTGGCCCAACGGGGCGAAGCTGCAGCTGGCGCCGTCGGACGCATACCAGTCGCGCAGCGCGCGCCCCTCTGAGGGTTGCGATTCGAAGGGTGACAGCCACAAAGGGATGAAATATGTTGGTGTGTCAGCAAGCAGAAAGGGTAGTGCGTGTGACTCCATGCCTGAGATGCTTTGTGCAGCTGTGTTTGATGCTCACAAGCTGCCAACAGCAATTATGCAGAGCCGGCACATGCCTGCATAAAGCGCGTTTGGCAGCGGCGCCCACCTTTGGTGTCCGGGTTGAGCGTCAGCACGCTGCGCGCGCCGCTGCTGGCAGAGCAGCCGTTGAAGTCCCCGACGCGCACAGAGGTGATCTGGGACGTGGGGGGGAGGGGGAGGTGCGTCAGGCGTGCGTGGGCGAGGCGAGGGCATCCGATGGGTGCCGGGGGCGCAGCAGCGCGGCTGCGACGGGCGAGTTTGCGAGCTAAGGAGACCCCTCAGAACATCAGACCCCGGGTCGCCACCTGTCTGGCTGCCTAGTTGCCCACAGCACAAAAGCTGCTCATGCCCACAAGCGCAAACACATACACACACACACGCACACGTACACAAACACACTCGCGCACACACACACACACACACACACACACACACACACATACACACACGCGTGCGGGCGCGTGCGCACACATACACACACTCACACACTTGCACCGACCTGCAGCAGCTGGCCCTCTGCGCCCTCCAGCTGCGGGCTGTGCGCGTTGTTGTTCCAAAGGGTGACAACCACGCTACGGCCGCTGGCGTCACCCAGGGTGACGTCCCTGGGGTGGGTGGGTTGACCAAGTCAAGGTCGGACGCAGTCAGGATAATGCGTGACGCATCGTCTCGAGGGCTCCTGACACACGTGGGCGGGCGGGGCACCCCCATCGCGGGCGCCGTCTACGCAGCTGCCATGCGGCTTCTGCCCGGCTTCCAGCCTGCACCTCCTGGGCAGCTCGCTGTTGTCTGCCTTGCGCTTGACCGTCCCCGCCTGCCCCATCGACAGCACCACGCCCAGCACGTCCACCGCGGTCTGCGGTTACAATGATATGGGTGGGCACGAGTTTGACGCAAGGTTTGCGGTTGTCTCGAAAACGATCGAGACTTGCATCTGGTCGGGGATCCCGGCACGATCCAGGCGCCAGCGCTGGCCGCCCGCCATGGGCGGCAGGCTCCGGGCTGCAGGCGCTTGGGGGGGCCCTGAGGGGCCCCACCGGCGCGTCTCTCCCCCTCATCTGCCCCGCGGCTCAGGGCGCGGCGTCTCTCTCCCCTCCCCCGGCCATGACTCTGCCAATGCAATCAGACACGCCACACACCAACGACCACACGCGTGCTCTCTCGTCTGCCCTATTTCTTCCCTCCCCTCTCTCTCCCTCCCCCCTGCTTGATTGCTACATACAACTCCCTCTTGACATCTGACACATACACACACACATGCACGTACACACACACGCGCGCACCCACACACACCTTGCGGCCAATGTAGCCGGGCAGCCGGTCCAAGGGCACGATCTCTGCTGTGGCGACGATGTCGATGCCCCCCTGGTCAGCGCACTCCTCCACCTCGGTCCTGTGCAGGGTGGCAGCGCACGCAAACAGCCATGTCTGATGGCGTGCATGTACATGGGTGGCAAATCACGGGGAACCAACGACGCGCCGCGTGTCCAAGCGCTGTGATTGTCCATACACCTGTGCCGCCCCACGGCTGCGCTCGGCCCGCAGCCGCAGGCCAACCACAAACGCAAGGTGCTGCGAGGCGTTTCGCTCGCCTGCCGTCGAGGTGGATCTCGTAGTCGTTCCTGCACAGGTTGTACTGCTTGTTCGCCACCTGTCGCGGAGTGGCGCAGCGTGGCGGGGGGCACGGGGATGTTGTGGCCAAGCGAACCTGGTATGGCTGGGCGCCCGGGGCGCCGTTTGCCGTGAGAGAGCCGGCAGACCCCACTGCGACGTCATCGCTTCTCAAACTGATGTTTACACTGCTAGTGCAGCCACAGGGATGAGTCATGGTGCTGCGGAGCGCCCCAATCCCGTCACCCGGTGTCACCTTTACATTGAACTTGCTGAAGTAGTAAACCTTGCCCTCGGCCAGCGAGTCGCAGTACCTGGGTTACGCCCGGGTGACACGACGGGGTGACACACAGATACCACCAGCAGACTGATAGAGTGTGGAAAGGGTCGCTAGGGCACACGGCGCCGCTGCATGGGCAGGCCCAACGTTGGCAGCCGAAGTGCCATTCTGGGGCTGCGCCACTGCTGGGCAGGCGCTGCGCCTGCCCTTGCCCCCCACCCACAAGCCGCGTTTGCCCCCCTACTTCCACTCACTTGTCCGCAGCCTCGCGCCAGAAGGTGCCCTGAACCTGCCCGCCCTGTGCGTCAGCTAGCTCCACCTGAAGAGTCAATAGCATCGGGCAAAAGAAGCGGGAGAGATACAGGGAACGGATCAAGATCAGCGGCAGCAGCTGACACGCGGGCACTGACAGGTCCGCACAGGGCGGCTGGTCTTCTCAGAAGCGCGTGAGCACATGTTGCTTGGTGCGGGGATACGGAATTGGCCGGCACGCACGCCGCAGCGGCCGCTGCCCGGGCCCGGCGCGGGCGGCGCGGGCGGCGCGGGCGCGCGCCACCCACCGCAAACGTCCGCTGCTGGCCGCCGCGGCCCGCGAAGCTGCGGGCGGGCATCTTGCGAACGACCTTCGCCTTGATCGTCCACTGCGGATCGCGGGTGACCAGATGGGAAGCGTTCCCCAGAGGGCTGAGGCAATCAATGGAGGGTGAGTGGCGGGCGGCACCGAGCGGCGTCATGGGCGCCGCCGCGTCAGGGGCGTGCGAGGCTCGGCATTTCCTGCATAGTGTGATAGCCCCGTCCCCTGTCTGCAGCAGCCAGCTGTCCTCACGCCTTGTTCAACCCCCAAAACGAAAAACCCGGCAAATCGCAGCAAAAAGAAGCGTCCCCTGCGGTTCTTGCATGCTGTCAGGCACGACGGCGCGCACGGCTCGTTTGCACCCACCTGCGTGTCGTAGGGGTTGAGCGCCGCGATCGGCTGCACGCCAGCCCGCGTCTCCCGCACCGCAATGGGCGTCCCGCCGCCGCCGCCCGATCCGCCGCCGGGGCGCGGCGTCTGCGCGGCAACGGGCGTGCCGCCGCCGCCGAGGAAGGCCAGCGCGTCGCTGGCTGGCGATGGCGCGATGGGGGTGCCGCTGCCGCGGACGGGGCTCAGCGGCAGCGCTGCGGGCGTGCGCCTGAGCCTGGGAGGTTAGTGGGGTGCGTGGGTGAAAATTGATGGCTGGTGGTGGTGGCTTCAGAGTTACGCGCGCAGCTGGGTGGGGCAGAGGCCGGGATTGAATTGGTGAAGGCGTTTGTGGGGGCGAAAGGCGTGATGCCGTGGCGGCCTTTGTCCCCACCCCGTGCTACCCTGAGGCGCCCATGCTCACTCTTCAGAGGGCGAAGGGGTTGGCCCAGGCGTCCCAAATGCGGGCCGCGACGGAGCCGGGGTGTGCTGCTGCTGCGGCTCCTCCTTTATCGCCATCGCCACGTCGCCGCCGAAGCTGGCCGCGGCCTGGTCGCGCGCCGCACCACTGTCGCGCCCCGCGGCCGTTACCTCCAGATCGCTGATCACAAGCTTAAACTCGTTTTCGTTGACCTTGTTGCACAAGTAATTGGTCGCGCGGATGACGTCGCCACCTTTCAGGCGCAGCGTGCCGCTGTCGAGCGCGCGCGCCAACTGTGACGCAAGTACGCCCTCCATGACGCCGCCTGATCCATCCTGGCACTTGAACACCCATTTCTTGTGAGCACTTAGCTTGACATCGGTCATCTGCGTTGGTGAGCAAAATTGTTTTGAATCGATCTGGCGCCATCCTTGGATCTGGTCCCGGCACCACACCACAAACCTTGAGAGTCATTGGAGCACTGACATCGCCTTGTGAGCAGGCCGCCAACGCTCCCTTGGTGAGGTCCGCGGCCATGTTCATGCTACAGTGGTGGTGCTGCGCAGGGCTTCCTGCCTTCGTATTGTTGAGACAACCTGCTTAAAATGCCACAATGACCAAAGCGACAGACACCGTATACAAGATGCGCTACAATGCTGCTGTTCGGTTTGAACGCACCGCAGAGTCACTTGAAATTCAGAGGCACAGAGGTCCAATGAATGGGCACCCGTCGCTCGTATCAATTACGACTTTGTTTATTGGTTTGAGAGTGTAGTATCTTTTTGGCGTTTGTGGCCTCTGGGCCTGTGGTGTGGGCGTGGGATACACACCAGAGGAGCAGGAACGTCTGAGAACCCAAAACTTAGAGCTCGTAATAGCCAATCAATCCCAGAAGTCTTCGCCAATCGTCAGGTGCGCCCGCACTGTCGGAGCGTTGGGCGCGTAGAACTGGTCGGGTGCATCTCATCAGGACCGCCAGGCGGACTGTGAAGTGTCTTCAGCGGCTTGGTCTCACAAGCATCCACGTGGCGGTGTGGTCCAGTGGGGTGCGCGCCGCTACATCACCCAGTGACGCCTAGTGTGGAGCATCCAGACCGGGCGTGGGCGCGCCTGCTGTGTTGGCGTTAGGGCGCCCCGCCGTGTCATCCTTATTTTTTGCATCTGTGCTGCAGGCATAGCCATTGTCGTCATCGAAATGGCGGTGGCTGCGGCGCTCAGCGCGGCGCAGGCTGGGACGCTCGGTTTTGGGTTCAGGTGAGTGCGGGCCGCCAGCACATGCGCAGCGCGTCGCGCAGGTCATGCAGGGTTGAAGCGCATGTGCCGCATCTGTGACTGAACAGGGACAAAACAACCAGACACATGTTGTTCGCGTGTTTGGTTGTTTTCTGTGATGCCTGCCACACCGAACCTGCTCGCGACATGGCTGGCGGGACCCAAGCTGCAATGAGCAGTGACAATGCGCACCGCGGCTCACCCAGTGCCACCCCCACCGACCTGCCGACCCCACCCGCGCAGCGGGGCCGGCTTCTTGATTCCTTTCTTCCTGGGAGTTATAGAAGTCCTGCAGCTCCAGCTGGGCGTCATGCAGCCCACCATGCCCATGGCCGGAGGCTCTTCTGGGGCGCTCGTGACCCTGTGAGCTGCGGCCGCCGCTTGTTTCGGGGACCCCGGGCTCCGCCCTACATGCCTCTCAGTGTGAGGCCGGCAGGGCCAGGCAAACGTCGCTGTGCCCCCTGTTCTAGGGGTGGCGGCTGCCGCTGGGGATGCACTGCTGCCATGTGTGGCTTGCCGTCTCGGGGCAACCCCAGACGCGGCAACCCGCAACGCCGCGCCGGTGCGCAGGACGGCCAACGGGCTTGTCCCGCTGGCGGCGATGAGGGCGGAGGCGGCGCAAATGTCTGACTATTGCCTGAAGCGCGGCAACTGCTATGGCATCCTACAGGTAGGAATTTGCTGGGGCAAAAGAGCACGAATGGGGGCAGGATGACTGTCACATTGGAGCCGCGCATTGTGAGCAGTTTGACTGATCGCTGTGCCATAGGTTTGGCCACAATCCCATAGCTCGATTTGCAATAGAGTGTTGCATGCTGAGTTGCGGCGTCGGCCGTTGCTGAGCAGAGGACCGGAACACGCTTAATGTCCGCCCCTGCCAGAGCACGGTCGCCGCGGCCGCGGAGAGGCTGCTGCCTCTAGACGCGGCCGAGCGCGCCAACAGCGCCGGCAACACCCACCTTGCCGTGGTGTACCCGGAGCCGCTGGGGCGCAAGCCGGCCGAGCAGCAGCTGGTCAGCAGCTTCGCAAACAGGTCGGACCTCATAGAGGCGGTCAAGACGTCCATCTACATCCCGCTGTTCGCTGGGCCGTCGCTGACCCGAGAGTGAGAGGGGTTGAGCGGTAGCCTTCATGGCAGCGGGCCAAAGCGGGGCGGTTGAGGTTGCTGGGGAGCACAGAGCAGCTGCTTAGACCGGGCAACGGCATGACGCATGGCGGGCAGAGGGCCTGTGAGAGGTGTGCACCATTTTTGGCCCGCCAGCACGGCGTGTGCGCCATCATGAGTGCTTTAGTCATTACTCATGGCAGCAGCACCTCCCAACCTTCCGCTCAGGTTCCGTGGGAGGCCGGCGTATGACGGCGCATTCGCCGGGCCCGGCCAGGGATTCCTGCCGTGCCCCCCAAACGTCACATACGTGGGTTGCGCGGCGCGTAAAGCAATTGGCCAGGGTCACGCTTGGGGCGTTTGAGCAGCTGCTCAGCCGTTGTTTCGTTGCACACATGCAAGGGGTGGGGCGCCCCAAGCTGATCAACATCTCAAGCTCATGCCTGGATTGCACGCGCGCTGTCCGCAGTGCGTCCGCATCAGCTCGATGCCGGCCGGCCTGCGGCTCTTCAGTATCCTGACGAACGACATTTTGCTGGGGGAGGCCGACAACAAGAGGCGCGCCGTCGATGTTGCCGCAAACATCCTCCTCGGCTCGGACCTTGCCAACACGCTCAGCGCGACCATTCGGTCGCTGACCGGCAACGCGAGGGCGGACGTCCCAGGCGAGGCGGCGCAGATCAAGCAGATGGTGGGGCAGCTGATGCGGCTCTTCACGCCTGGGGAGGACGGCGCCGACATTTGGCCGGGGCGGCGGCACCCGTTGCCCGTCACCGAGCTGTTCTGGTCGACATGGATGATGTCACCGCCGGTGAGCCAGTGCTATGGGGTCACTAGAAACAAGAGATGTATGGATCAGTAATTGTATAGTTGATACGTCATAAGGGCAAATCAGGCGAGTGCTTTCCAGTTGAGGCAGGCACAAAACGCAGCTAAGCTTGTAGGGAAGGTTGATTGATCAACCCTCCCCACACACAGCACAAACACATGTGCAGTGTTGCATGGGGGCCCAGGAAATCCTGCATGCGTTGTAGGCTTGATAGCTGCAGCATTGTGCTGCCTCGGTTGATACCCCAAAATGCATTGCCTTACCCCTGGCGCTCCCCCTGCTCGTGTACTTGATGTTTCCCTAACCCAAGACGATCGACTGGGCAGACAAGATCTTTGAGCTCGGCAAGGCAGAGGCGCTATCATGGGCGAAAGAGGCCGGGTTTGCCGACAGTCAGGGCCAGCGGCAGCAGCAGCGGCAGCAACAGGAGAGCGGCCCTGGATCACACAAAGCAGGCCCCGGAGCTGCCGCGGCCGCAGCCAAAGGCAGACTGGCCGGCACTGGGCTGCGCTCGAAGACGGCGCGCTCTGCCGAGGCCAGCATCAAGTTTGGTGTGCAGGAGGGGCGGCGGCTGCACTGACAGCGCTGCTCACGCTTGATCAACGCTTCACGGTGGCGAACAGCCACCGAAGATTTGGCTTTGAGGTTCCAGCTCTCGCTTTACGCAATGTCCTGTTCCAAGCTGCCACCTGGCGGCACTGCGTGAGGCCGGCAGGCCCACTGGCGCATCCAAGTTGCAGATACCATGATTGACATGGATGGGTTCTCAAGTGGGTGAAATAAAACGGAAAGGTGTGCGTTCCTTTCCTGCAGCATCTGTGGCCGCAAGGTGCACGAAATTTCGGAGTCTGTATTGGCGCTGTCTTGTTGCGATTTGCCATGCATGCCGCAATTTCCTGTGACGCCTTGTTCACGGCGTTGTCGTGGCGCTGCAGGCACATCGGCTATTTCCTCAACACTGTTCATCTGCGCCGCTCGGGCGCATGCATCACAGTTGTGCATAGAACTTGCCCAAACGTGTGCGCCTACATGCCCACATTGCAGAGATGTGGGCGCGCGGTTCGTTTGTGGGATTTTTTCTCATGTGGGGCGTGCACATGAAAGTGCGCAGCAGATTGCACATGCAATCATCTACTTGCGCACGTTGTTACGCTCCGGCACCAACATGCACAAGTAATGTGCACGCAATGCAGTCGCATGGCCAGTCAGGCTGGAACGTTGCATGGCCGGTCGATGACGCACATGTTGCGGGTGTGAGTTGCCGGCACGTGTTGCTTGTCAAGAACCTGAAGGTCGTCCGATCAGCTTTTAGCGGCTAGCAACAACTCAAACTCGTGCAACCACTTGAGTCGTTGCAGCAATTCGTACGAAAGCTCATGGGCATGGGTGGCAGACAGTCTGCCACACGCTCGTCAGTCGCACCCCCCATTGAGTGCCTCATCGTGAGGCACGTCTCAGAGCCGAGAGTAGGTTTCAAGGATGATGGCATGCTTTCGATGATCTCCACCTTACTTTGGCGGCCACGCACTAGCTCGGGCTGTTGTAACTGCACGCGAAGTGACTGCTTCTAGCGAGGGCGTAGGAGCCGGCCGAGTCGCCGCAAAATACACGAATTATTTCTGTATGACTTAATGATGCTGATATCGTAGTCAGTGCTCCTGCCAGGATAAGCAGTCGCAGAGGTAGTTGTAGCACGCCGTGCCCGAGAAGGGGGCTGGCGAGTGGGCAACATGGATGAAGCAATTCCTGTAGTTCGTCAGGCAGGCCTGGAGACCTGGATTCCCTGTCTTGTGCTCAGCCATGTTTGGGCGCTGTTCTTCGTTGCCAAGGCCCTTGCGGTCCTCAATCCGGAGCTATATAGGAGAATTACGAACAAGATTTTGTCTCCGGGTAAGCGGGCCAGCACATTAGACCGAACAGCACGAACGCTGCATCACGACGGCGACAGCTGCGGCAGCGTCAGCGAGAGCGGGGCGCAGCTGCCCCAACGATGGTAGAGCAGGACACTAAGCCGCCCGCAATGGCATGGGATTTTGCATTGGATAATCATGCCAGCGTGCTCAGAGTGAGTACGCAACACCCAGCAGACTTCACACCCGTGCCGGCACCCCGCCGCAGTGCGTGCCGCTGCGCCTGCACCGCCGTCCATGCCACGGATGGCGAGTGCTGACCTGTGGCGCGCACACCTGGAGCAGTCACGTATTGCAGCGCCCCTGCTGCTGGCTTGGGACAGCCTCGGCTGTCAATACAACACTCCCAATGGCATCAAAACTGTGCTTACGGTGCGAGCTACAGGGGGGTTGATGCGCTTGTATACACGAGCGGACTGCGCATGAGCCGTGGCAAATAGAAGCGTGCATGTTTGTGCACGGACGTTCATGCCAGTGTATCATGTGCGGGATCAACTTGATTACGGTGTGTGGGGCGGAGCACGTTGCCCGGCTGGCGGCGTGGTGTCCACCCTGTGGCGAGTCACAGCCGGGTTAAGAGCGCCAGTGCTGACACCGAAGATGCCCGGCTGCATCCCTGGCAGCCGGAAGCTTCTGTCCGCAAGTGCCCCAAAACCACGAAGCAGGCGGGCTGCCTTGTGCCGGGCGTCAACGCGCGGTTCGCCGCGTCCGCACCGGCTATCACCACGTGCGTGCGCCCCGGTCGCAGGATGTGAGCGGCGCGGCGCGGCCATACGAGATGCTCGCTCTCATGGGGCCCAGCGGTGCAGGTGCGCCCTGGCGGGCTGGAACGACCCGAAAGATGTGGGCCTCGCCGCCCGCGGCAACGGCACACATTGCGCACAGCTGCGCTGCGCATCGACCACCTCTAGCAAATGTCGCATGTGTTGCTGAGAGTGCAGCCCACAGAAACGCAACCAACCTCACCCGAACCAACCCGCCCACCCAGGCAAGTCGACCCTCCTGGACATCCTTGCGGCTCGCAAATCGGTCGGCCGCCTCACCGGCGCGGTCACCGTCAACGGGGCGCCTCGGGGCTCAAGCTTTGTCAGGTCGATTTCATACGTCCCCCAGGAGGACAATTTCCTGCCCTCGATGACAGTCATCGAGACCTGTGAGCTGCACGCGGCGCTGACGCTGCCGCGGGGCACGCCGCGGCCGCAGGCGGCGTCGAGGATAGAGGAGGTGCTGGCGGCAATGGTGAGAGGGGGGGCGTTGGAGGGCTGCGGCGCTTGCTGAGCACGGCCGTCGGCCGCATTGTTGCAAGAGCAGCCGCGCTTTGCAGTGTGTTTCCGTGCCTGGGCTGGGAGACTCAAGGAGCAACCCGCAGCGGCGTTTCTTCTCGCGAAGCGTCGGCCCCTCCAACTCTTGCCGCATTGGGCCCGCCGCGGGAACACGCAGGGGATGCTGCACGCGCGCGACACACTGGTCGGCGGCGTTCTGCCCGGGGGCCTGAGCCTGCGCGGCCTGAGCGGCGGCGAGCGGCGGCGTGTTTCAGTGGCCATCGGGATTCTGGCCGCCCCCAGCATCGTTTTCCTAGACGGTGCGGTCGCGGGGGCTGGTGATCTAGGCAGCGTGATGCTGTGCTTGCTGCTGTGACGGCGCCATCCCAATGACAGCTGCCTTTTGCAGCAGATGAAAGGTCGCCCATGTGTCCTGACAGGTTGAAGGCGTCAAACCAACCAAGCACGCAAGTGTTTGTCCCCCCAACTTCAGAGCCAACCAGCGGGCTGGACAGCTGCTCGGCGCTGGCTGTGGTGGAGCACTTGCGGGACCGCGCCCGCGACAGCGGCCTCACGGTGAGGCCTCTTTCCTGTGCAGCGAGCGAAATGTTGCCCCATGCCGGCCACATTCTTGCTTGTATAGTTCTCAATTCTCTGGATGTGTCAGCTGCTGCAAATTGCACACCGCCAAGGCTTGAAAACTCCCCAGACCTGCCGACGCTCCCGCTCTGCTGCCTGCTCCCCTTACCCCGCAGGTCGTCGCCTCGATCCACCAGCCGCGCGCCGCGGTGTGGTCCGCCTTCGACGCGTGCGCCGTGCTGTCGCAGGGCCTGGGCATGTACCAGGGCCGCTGCGACGCCATTGTCTCGTGGTTCGAGGGCGGCCTGGGGTACGGCCCCTGGGACTCTGCGGTGCACGGCACGGCCTCGGACTGGGTGATGGATCTCGTGAACGTGGGGTTCTCCAAAGCCGAGGTTTACGGGGTGAGCGGTTGCGGGCGGCTCGATGCGCTTGGGCGGCCCGCGGTTGGCACGCAATGTGGAGGGGGGGTGCCTTGCTTGACGGCGTGGATAGCATGCCCTGCCCCTGCCCTGCCTTGCCTTGCCTTGCCCTTCCCTGAATGTGTGAAAATAGTCACTGACAGCCCTGAGCCTTTGCACGCAGATCACTGGCCGCACAATTGTGAATCACAAGGATTTGCAAATGGCTGCTCAGATGTTTTCAAAGCACTACAAACGCATCCAACAGCAGCAGCAGCAGCGACAGGAAGCGGCGGCAGCGGCGGCGGAGAAGCAGCGCACGCAGAAGCCGGCGGCACCGCCGCTCGGGCCCGCGCTGTCGCAGCACCAGGTACAATCAGCAGGCAATGCGTGGAGCATGCGGCCGTCGCTGACGTCTGCGACGCTGGGCAAACGCTCCTCGGCGGGCGGCACGCTCGCCACCGGCCCCGGCGCCCGCGAGGCCGCTGCCACCGTCGCCGTCGCCGGCATCGTCGGCGCGCGCTGCAGCATTGGGGACCCCCCGCCGTTGATTGGGGGCAGCCTTAGGTCGTATTGGCAGCGCCAGCAGCAGGACGTTGTCGTAGCTGCTCCTTTGCCCGTGCCTGCAAAGGACGGCAGCAGCAAAGAGCGCGAGGGCCGACCGGTCATCATCGTGAACACAGAGGCCGGGGATCGGGGGTCCAACAGCAGCGGCTCTGCGTCCGTCGCGACGGCTGCGAGCGGCGCGAACGAGGGCGGCGCAGGGCTGGGGGCGGCGGCGATGGCGGCGGCGATGGCGAAGCGGCGGCCCACGTTCTGGAGCCAATTCAGGTGAGTGTGTTGGCGCATGCGTGTTTGCTATAAATACGGGCAGGGGGGCGGCACGGTCGGTCGCTTGCATTGCAACATGGCAATGGAGTCGTTGCAAGGCCTCCACTTTCCATTCAGGCGCCCTCTCACCGCAATCTGCTGAAAACCCCCTTTTGGCCCGCTTTGCTGCTGCAGGGCGCTTTTCCGGCGCGAGCTTCTGGCGACAATGCGCAATCCTGCTGATGTTGCCGGTGGGTTGGCCGGTGCTGGAGCAGCTGTGAATGTGTTTTGCTTGTGTGGGCTGCACCTGCGCACGTGACCGGCTTCATTGCAGCGCATGCTGGCCTGTTGCACCTGCAAACGCACCAACTGACGTGGCCCCCTTCCCGGCCCTCTCGCTCACCTTTGCAACACAGGACGCATGCTGCTTTTCGCCTGGGTCGGCTTGTTTTGCGGCCTGGTACGCTCCGTTGGCCCAATGGTCCTTTGCCTGGTGGTGCCGCCTGCGCGTTCTGCTACCCTGCTTTGTGGGGAGGAGAACCCTCAGGCTGGTTCTGCGAGTGCCCCAGTGCCTGACGAGCAGGGCTGCCACTTCCCCAGATTCAAGGCGTTCGCCCCTGCCTGAACTCCTTGCATCAACCCTCGTTGTGCAACCCACCGCCTGGCAGGTTTTCTGGCGGCTGGGCGACGGCTTTGACGCGGTTCGCAACCGCATCAACCTGCTGTTCGTGGAGTGCCTGCAGTACATGCTGCTGGTGAGTCGGGCACGGTCCAGCACGGAATTCGCCTCAGCCAGCAGCGCAGCCATTTCGAAGCTGAATGTGAAGCATTTTCAATGTCTACTGCACACTTGACCCACCTTTGATACGTGTGGCTGTGTTCATTCCACGCGGGCGGCATCGGGCATCATCTGTTTTGGTCGGCCATAATGACACCCGCCGCATCGCCTGTCTCTTCATTTCCCTCACCCCTTTTTGGCGTGCTGACGGTCTGAACTCAAACCTCTAATCACCTTGCTGCGGGGCCGCAGCCGTACGTGTACATGAGCCTCTACGCCGCCGACCGCCGCCACTTCACCGCTGACATCAGCGCGCGGCTGTACTCGCCCGGCCCTTACTACGCCGCCAAGACGCTGGCTGTTCTTCCTTTTGCGCTGGCCAACTGCCTGGTGCGTCAACGTTTAAGGGTGGTGATGTGGGGCATGTATTTTGGACCCTGATAGCTAGTTAGTGCATATGAGATCAGATTGTACTCCCTACATGCCTCCGCAAAGGTACAAGCTCTCAAGGCAGCAGTGTCAATACGTCGCCTTGCCACAGCCACATGCTACCAGCAAGCCCAACGCGCCCCGCGACGCGCGCTCCCCACGGCTCGACCGACCGCGCCCCCTCAGTTCAGCACCTTCATCATCTATGGGATGGCGGGGCTGCGGCTGACGCCCTTTGCGGTCGCCATCAACGGCGTGACCAGCGCCATCCTGTACCTAGTGGCTCAGCAGGTCCAGGCCCTGGCAGGTGCGCCGCGCTTGGCGGCCCAGCCCTGGCAGCTGCCCTTGTCTTGGCGCAAGACACCAAGCAGCTGCGTGCGGAAGCAGCCACGGGTCGCCTGGGGGCGCTCTGGACTTGGCCTGAAGTTGCAGCTTGATTTTTGAATCACATTGTCCACTCGAGTTCACCCTGCCTGCGCACGCTTGTTGCCGCCCGCCCTGCAGCCATTTTGATGCCAAATGAGGATGCGGCCTTCCTGCTTACTATTGCGTACACGACCGGTGAGAAGGGGCCGCTTGGGTCTCTGGCTGAGACCCGCCCCTGTCCAAGAGCGAAGAAGATGCACACGCGCCCGTTACACTGCCTGCTTGTCAGTCTTTCTTCACCCACCATGCGTCTGCGCCGGCGGTGCTCTGCAAATTTGTTGTTGTTGGTCAAGGGCGCAAACATCAACATGTGCAGCAGGGCTGCCACGCCATGGCCTTGCACACGAGCCACCTGCCAACCTGTCTGTCCCGGCCACCTTCCTCTTGCACAAGTAAATCTCACCAACCTGCCACTAACCCGCGCCTCACGGGGCAAACTCCGCGTCCGAAATCGTCCCGACGCCAACCGCCCATTAGTCAACATCTACATGTCAAACTTCGTCATCCGGTTCCGCGACATGGCCAACAGGTGGCTCAGCTTCCTCAGGTGTGTGGCAGGGGGCGCCTGGGCAGCAGGGCAGCGGCGGGCCGCGGCGGGAGCAACAATTTTACAGAACATCAGGGAGGTATTCGAGAGCGCTGCCGGGGGCACGCAGATTTTGAATCGCTTGCGCACTGACCTGGTGGCCTTGGACGCGCGGCGTCAGCTGTCGCTGACCAATCCCATCCTGCAACACACCTGCCGCATGCCGCCGTTTGAATTTCGCAACGTTCGGACGCCACCGCAGGTACACGAGCGCCGTCAACTTCGCCTACGCCTCGATACTCCGCGCCGAGTTCGACGACCGCTCCCTCAGCTGCGCCGGCGGCATCCCGCCCGAGATGATCGCGAGCGTGCAGTCCCTCCTGCCGAACGCGCCCATGCTGCGCATGCCCGCGCTGCTGCGCATGGCGACTTCCCCGGGGGACGGCTGCCGCATGCGGCTGGACGCCGTGCTCGAGTATTTCGAGGTCGACCTGAGCAGCGGGGCGTACATCGCGGCGCTGCTGCTGCACTTGGCAGCGATGCACGCCGCGACGTTCGGCGCGCTGCTGCTGCTCGCGCGCAAGGAGCGGCGCTGACGGGGCCCCACGGGCGCGGTGCTCGGCAGCTTGTCGCGCCGCGCCGCGCCGCGCCATGCTGCCGCTGGCGGCAGCCATTCTGCGCGGCGAGGCGAGGCGAGGCGGTGTGAGCTGTGCCTGCGCCGGGCGTTGCCGCTGCTGCGGTGCCGGTGTGTGCTGGAGTACGCCGCGCTTGCGGCGCGCACCAGCCGCGTGAGCCGGCGCCTGCCTTTTGCACGCGGCTGGCCGGGCGCCGGGTTTGCGACATGGAGGCGCGTTGCGGCTGCAACGGGTCGTGCGGGGCATGTCTTGCGTTTTTCTCGCTTGCACCTGAGGAGTGAGTGGGCCTGTGCACGGCACGAACATGGATAAAAGCTTTGACCTGCAATTGGGAACCAAGGGTTGGGAGCACGTGCCTGGCGCACCACAGCGCCCCTGCACACACAGTGCTTAGCAGGGACAAGCGGCCTCGCTACAGCTTGCTTCCTGGCTGCTTGCATGTGGCGGCCTGGTCCCTGCCCAGTGCTTTGCCGTCGTTGCGAGGCCGTGTGGCCGCCGGATGTGCAGCCTGGCCCGCACCACAGATTGACTTACTCAGCAGATTTAGGATGTTATGGCTTTCTCGACTCTCCGCCTCCCTGCGGCCCGCTTGGGGCTGTTTTGAGCCTGCGACCGCGCCACAAACCCAACGCCCTTGTCGCCCCCAGCAGAGTGTTTGCTTGGCGTGTTGCGGCGCAGGTCGGCCACTGCTGCCCTGCAAATGCTGTGGTCGTCACCCACCAGACACCAGTCCTGACCTTTCGCCTTCTCATTGCCGGCACCCGGTAGGCCTCTGCAGCTTCTGACCCGGCCTGAAGCCTGCTTTTTCAACGCACGGCAACCGGCTTAACTCCATCCCCCCGGCCTGCGAGCCGCCGAAGCACAGGCCTTCTGGCTCGATGGGAGAGCCTGGGGCTGCTCGGGACAAAAACGTATTTGTATTTTGAAAGGATGAGCGGTGTGCGCGAGCTGCGGTATGTGTGTGTAACGATGGTAATCTGTCAGCTGTGTTGATGTGTAACGGGGCAAGGGTTTAAATTGACTGTGGGAGGAAGCGGTCCCGTTGCTCTGCAAACCTCCAGTTGAAAACACACACAACTCGGGTGTATGTGCACACACGTATGCACGTGCGCGCGCACACGCACACTAGACGTGCTCGTGGGACTGTGCTGGCCCGCCGCATGTCTGCACTCCACATGCTATCCCACCCACACGCCGCAAGCACATGTGATTAGGGCAAAGCAGATGAGGGCACATGTATTCTCACATCCTAGCCGTCACTGCATTCAATGGTGCTCCACGGTATCCTTGCCGTCGCCGCAACTCAATCGGCAGCGTTTGCGGCGCGCACTACACTTTGGCGTTTGGTCGCCAGGATTGCCCGCTTTGATATATGTTTGGCGAATTAAGCAAAATTTTTTCTGAGCTCGCGCACTCTGGCTGCAGCAGGAGTGCGCACAGGCCAGCATGGTCACTCACCACCCACCCCGAGGACACACTCGTTTACGCACCCAGAAGTTCAACCAAACAAGCCTCCCACCCTCCGCTGTATTCGCCTGTGTCCACGCGTGTACAATAAAGGGACGCATAAGCTGATGGACGTCATCTTGTCATAGTGTATAACGCACGAGGCGCCCAGCGCCACAGAGTTCGTAGCATTCTGCGTCCAATACTACCTTGTGCCTCGGATTGAATAGCTTCAACCTGTCCCGGCTATCATGTCATCAGAGGGTGCTGCAGACATGCTGCAGCTGCTGGCGGCAAAATCGGCCGCGGCGCGTCCTGTGTTGCCGCCGCTGCTGCAGCACATAGCGCCCGTCCGCGCCGGCGTCGCCATCGCCCACTTCGCCGTGCTACGCAGCACGCTCTGCTGGCAGACGCGCATGCAGCTCGCCGCCGCCGCCACGCTCGCGTGCGTGGCGCTGCTGACGGTGTCTCGGCGCGTCGCGCCTGGCTGGCGGCGCTTCGCTCTCCTCCCGCCAGTGTTGGTCGTGAACATTCTGCTGCCGCTCCTCTTCGACGTGCAATCAGAGCTGATCACCAGGATCGCCGTTACGTTTCTCATGACGTGGCTCGCCAATTTCAAGGTGCATGGTTTGGTGGGCGTGTGGATGGTGGGGTGGGTGGCGACCCCGAGGCAGCGGTGGCGGGAGCACACCTGCGGCTGTCAGGCTGACATCATTTGGGCGCGCCGTGCCCCTTGCAAGCTTGCACGCATGTGCCCTCTGCAATCTTACGCACACGCGTGCGGTGCGCGAGTGGCCTGCCAAAGGCAGCCCCGCGCTCCTACATTGGTTGTGGCAGCATGCTGCAGCCTACTTGCCACGACGCATTGAACGGTGACAGCCACACACTATGCGCACCCACGCGCCTGGCATTTGTGTCGCAAACACCCCTGCCTCATTGCGACTGCCCAACCCAGGCTCTGGGCCTCGCCGTCAACCGCGGGCCCCTGGCAATGAACGACTGGGGCTTTGGTCAGTTGGCCCTGCTTTACTCAATCCCTATCTACCCCACAGAGAGCCAGTCGGCCGGCAAGTCGGGCCGGCTGGGCGACAGCGCCGGCGGGGGCCGGCAGCTGCTGGTCAGATTCCTCGCGCAGACAGGTGAGAACCTGGGGTGCAGCAGAGGCAGCATTCTGCAGGGCAGCAGGAACCGCCAGTGCACGGATCGCCCAGAGGACGTCCCGCCGCGCCCCGCGCCCCCTTACCGTCCCGCCTGCCCCTCCTTCAACCGTCCTTCTTCAATCTCTCATGCGCCCGTCCTTGCCGCTCCGAAACCAGCGCTGCTTGTGGCGGTTGCCGTGCTGCTCGTGGAGTTCCAGCTGCCAGCGCTCGCCCGATACTATGGTGGGCGCGCCCTCCTTCGCTACCTGCGACTTCGCCCCGCCCGTAGCGGCGCTGTGTTACCCATTCCACACTGGTGCCCCCCTGCCTGTGTTGCCACCTCCTGTCGGCCGCAAGCCCCGCCGGTGCTCGCCTGAGTAGCGCGACCCCGCTGCAATCGCTGACATCATTTTGTCAATCGTTGCTTTGGCCCTGCTTGCGCTCCGACCCACCTCCCTCTGCCTCACTTCACCCGCTGCCGCCCTGTCGCCTGGCTCCTCTGTTGCTGCATTTCTGCAGCCTATGGTGAGCCCACGCGCCGCCACACCGCATGTGCTGTCCTCTGCATCGACACAATCTCTGTCCACCTGCGGTTTGGCAATGCTGCGCGCTGCCCCTTCTCAGCTGCACCACTGCTTACTTCAAGCCTTGCACGTCCCCCTCTGCTCGCTCGACCCCAGCCCTTGGCCTTTACGGATTCATCTCATTCCTCATGACCGGCCCCGCCGTGCTGCTGACCGCAATCGCCGCCATCGACGTCGTGCCGCCCTTTGATGCGCCGTGGATGGTGCGCGACCGGGCGCCGCGAGCCGCCACCGCTCCCGCAGCCGCAGCTGCAGCCGCTTTGCCGGTGGGGATTGGCAGGTCGCAGAATAGGCCGTGGCTTTGATGGTGGCAGGGAAACGGCAACTCGACAAGCTGCCCTCGCAAGACTGCAGTGCATAGTGCTTTTTATTCACATTCACCATTCCCCTCGCCCTTTCACAGTCTGTTTCGCTCGCGGATTTCTGGGCCCGGAGGTGGAACAACACGGGTAGGGTTTGGCAACACGCACCCGCCACCCCCGACCGTGGCTGCATGCTTTGTCCTCTCGACGGTCATGCGCTTTGTGGTGCCGCTTTCCTGGTCACAGCGGTCCACACGCCTGCTGCCCAAGCTTCACGCTTCAAGCTGCGAGCGCGTCATGGCCACACTCAACATTGCGCAAATCGCCCGCTCAAAACACCTTGTCGACCGCAGTCGGCTTGACCCTGAGGTCTCTCTGCTATGACCCCATAATTGAGAGCTGCATTGTGCGGCCAGCGAGCGGTGCCATCGAGCAGCTAGCAGGTGGCAAGCAGCAGCAGCAGCAGCGGCAGCAGGAGCAGCAGCAGCAGCAGCATCAGCATCAGCTCGAGCAGCTGCTGCAGCAGCAGCAGCAGGACTCTCAGCAGCAGCAGCAGCCGTCTGACACAAACAGCGACAAAGTCCATGCCTCTGTTGCGTTGCGGCCGTCGCGGGCGCGGCGATTCTGGGGGACCCTGATGGTCTTTCTCATGAGCGGCCTGGCCCACGAGCTGGTTTTGGCTTACATCATGGCGCCCAAGTTTGTGTGGGGCGCGAGCACGTTCTTCTTCGTACAGGTGAATGGTCGGAAAGTGGCCTGCGCGATTTCGATTCGAGTGGATTACAGGTGTGCCGGCTGACTCGGAGGCATGCCGGGCTGGGCTGCTTTGCCAGCTGCCCAGCACCAGGCCGCGCCATCAATCATAAAACCCCCCTTGGCCAACACCCTGCCCTCAGAGTATGTTGCCCTCGGTCCCTGCCTGATGATTGCATGGGCTGTATTACAATGTCTTGCGAGTGCGCGGGTGTTGCCTTCTACCCACCCCCATGGGGCCGCCGTCTCCCTGCGCTTTGCGCCACAGGCACCCTTGCTGCAGCTGGAGACCTCAATCCTGCGGCGCCTGAAGCGGCATGGGGTCCAGGCCCCCTTCCTCCTGCGCTGGCTCGTCAGCCAGGGAGCCCTTATGGCGGCAGCCCACCTCTTCTTCTTCCCCGTCCTCGAGTTCCACACCGACACGGCGCAGCGCGTGAGCGAGGTGGTGTCTTCGAACGCGCAGCGGCTCGCGGCGGCGCTCGGCGTGCACGCGGCGGCGTGAACCTCCCCGAGGCGCATTCCTGGTCCGCAGGAGGGGCTGCTGGCTTGAGTTGGGCAAGGGCCTGCACATTTTTTTCTCATCACCAAGACTGCGCAGCAGGCTCATGATGTCAAATTTCTAATTTCATGTGCCCGTGGCACGGCTCGGTCGCTTTCTGTAGACGGTGGGGCGGCACTCCATGAGTGCAGCGCTTCATGGCCGTCCCACACGTGTGCGCTCCTGCGGCGGCTGCGGCTGTGGCGGATGCTGCTGTGAGAACATCGCCATGGCTTTGGCATCTCTGTGCCGTTGTCATTGGCAGCAGCATGTGTTGTTGATGCGTTGCTTCACCTTTGCATCCCCCTTGGCGCGCAGCATCTCAGCTGTGTTGCTTGAGAGATGTTTGGTTTGACTCCATGCACACCAGCTGCTGCCGTTGTGCTCCTTTTGACCCACATGGCTGTTCTGCTCTTTTATGCCTGTGTGACATGCTTCACCCTCTAGATTTTGGGTGAAACGGGCGCCCCAACCTTCCAATGCCCGCCGAGAGCATTGCCATTGCCGGACCTGCGATCCCCAAGGGCGGCTTGCGCCCAGCTCGACTCGTGACGCGCGACCCGCCACTGAGAGCAAGCGCGATGTTGCGGCTGCAAGCTGTTGAGGCGCGACAACTGCCCGCGTGCTCGTGAGCAGGTGGAAAGAGTACACGCATTTGGGGCCGCCATTGCGGCGGGGGCGTGATCTTGGTGTACATTAGTGTCTGTACCCTATGCCAGAGACGAGGAATTATTCTCGTCTTCAATTCAACACCTCATAGCAGCACAGCAGGCGAGGCGAGTTGCACCAGTAACTTTCAATGGTTTTGGACGCGTTTCAGCTTGTCATGCCCCCTGCGATGATCTCTGAGGGCCGGGCCGGGCCCGCCCCGCGGGCTGGGGGAGCCTGGCATGCGCAAACGACACCTCTCCGCCGACACGTTTGTGCCTTGCCCTATTCTTAGGGGTTGTAAGCTGCAACTAAGCGCACGCTTGCGGATGCGAGGTGTGGAACAGCTTACAGTGGGTTGCTTGTGGGATTGAGTCACACTCTCGGCAGAGACAGCGTGCCGTAGCTCACGCACCACGCACTACGCCGACAGTCACACACTGTCATGCCAACCTGTCCTGCTAGCCAGGATGCGTTCCAGAAATGTTGTGTCAAGCTAAGAGCAATCCGCTGAGTCGCTTGGGTTGGGTCGTGGGGATGAATCCAAATGAAAAGGCATTGCCGTCATGGGACAAGGGGGGCCAGGGTGGACCATTCTACCTTTTTATGCAAATTTGCAAACCCTCAATGTAGGAACAGCTCCGGCGCACAAGGCCTGTGATCTAATCATGGCGTGAATCATGTGTTTTCACAGCATGAATTTACATGGTTGCGTGCAGCAGCCTCTGGGCAATCAAGTGAAAACGGCTGCCATATTTGGCCTGTGGAGCTTCCACTGCAGACTGCTTGCCACTGCTTGCTTAAGCAGCCGCTGCATCTTGTTTGATTGACAAAAGGCCTTCGTTTTACAGACATATATTCTCAGTTACATTTTGTGCCGAGTCAACCTGTTGTCCAGCGAGTGATCCGGGCATTGTGCTTTCCGCTGGCGACAGCGCGTGGACATGGCGTTGGGCATGGTGCCTATCGCCTTTCAAGTGGCATCAGCCTGCGCCAAGGTCAGCGGATGCCGGGGCTGGCGTCCACTGCAGTTTTCGCTGCGTGAGGGCGTGTGCACGACCTAGCATCAATCCTAGAATGCGGCTGGCGACCTATTTCACGCCACATAAATCCTTTCGCGCGCATCCCACGCTGCAGGGGTGCCTGGCGGTGGTCCTCGGGGCTGACAAGGCCGAGGAGGCTTTGTCTCGCGGCTACCAAGCAGCGGGGGCCGTGGTCGGGACGCTGGAAGCCGTCTACTCGGCCTACAGGCAGCTTTGCTGCGAGGCGATCGCGCCTGCCAAGGGCAGGTGCGTTGACCTGCTGCATGTGTGCTGCGCGCACCGCTTGCTTGCAGTGTGCGCCCCTTTGCAGCATCGCCACGCTCTTCGACAGCCCCGTATCGGGGCGCGCGTGTGCTTTTTCGTGGCAGCAGCTGGACCTCAACCCCTCCCACTGCCCATGCACACACCTCAGGGGCGACAATGTAGACATGGCGCTGACGGCCGAGGAGGCGCCCACCGCACTGCCGTCGGAGAGCGGCAAGACACCGGCAGCGCCTGTCGCCATCGCCATCCACGTGGTGGCTGGTGACTGCTCTGAGGAGGCGGAGGAGGCGGAGGAGGCGGAGGAGGCGGAGGAGGCGGAGGAGGAGGAGAAGGAGGAGGAGGTGCTGTGCTGCATGAGCCTGCAGCTGTCCGGTGGGTGCTGCGGCCGCCGTTTTGCAATCCCCGGCATGCGTATGGCATGACTCCGCATGCACGCCGCGTCCTCCTTGCATGCGCCCCTGCTCAAGCGGCAAGTTGGCACCAAGTGGGGGGGGGGGGCTGGACGTGTGCCCAGCTCTGCTTTGACATGCACCCCTGTGACAAACCATGCATGGCGTGCTGCTTGCTTGCCCCACAGTTGCCAGTCCTTCGCCGCCCTTCTCAACTGCCGATCGTGGCCTTCCGCCCTCCTTCCACCCCAAATGCGCAGGCACCAACCCGCAGACCATGGAGCTTGCCAAGCCCATCACCACCGCCACCTATACGGGCTTTGAGGAGGCCTGCCCTGTCGGCACCGGCCTGGTGAGCCCACGCTTGGCGTGCGCGGCGGCCGCCCAGGCGACGCGCAAACGCTGGGCGAGTCGAATTCGCTTGGCGCCACCCCGCCTCTCCAGCACCGGTGCTGCCACGGCTGTGCCACCCGTGCCGACCTTGCTTCCAGAGCTGCGACCACTCGTGTCCGCCAGCCTCCTTGCTTTCTTTACCTGTTTACGCCCCTGCTCCTCATCCCCACACCCTCCATCGGCAGGACCCCTCTGTGCAGCCCGCTCAGGACTGCGTGTCCAGCTCGGCACTGGTCAAGTCCGGCGACCGCAGCAGCAGGGCTGGCTCGCCCACCAAGGGGCTGCTGGTCTGCGACAAGGTGAGGGGGCGGCGTGGGGGGGATTGGGTGGACGCGCGGGCTGGGGGCATGTCGAGGCAAAGTGGGCTGATGTGAGGCGGGGCCGCGGGGAAAATTCTGCCCCGTGTGAGGGTTCGCCTGGACAAACGAAATGACATTCAGCCGTGCTTGTGCGTGCGTATGTCGAGAACAACGCACATGCTGTCCTGTGCCGCCAATGTCAAGCTACGCCCTCACGCCCCTCGATAACCCTACTTGACCCCTGCACTGCCCCCTGTTGCTCGCGACCCCACCACTTCAGTTCCGCGCCCGCAGTCCCAGCCCCAGCCCCAGCCCCAGCCCCAGCCCGCTGCCCACGACCCAGGACCCCAGCTCCGCCGCGCATGGCACCGGCGTCGAGCTTAAAGGGGACGTGGCGTGCAGCCAGGTAGGCCGCCGTGGGTTGTGCGAGGGACTTGATGAGGCTGCTGCTGGCGGGGCCCTTGCCTGCGTGATGGGAAGATGTGGTGGCCTGTGAAGACAGTGTTGCGGGGTGCAACTCGGGCGCGCTCTGTCAAGTGCGCCCCTGACGCAGGCCTTACAGGGTTGTGCTTGCTGGGGGAGAGAGAAGCGTGGCAAGGCATGATTGTGATGGGCGCACGCAGACGGAACCCAACTTCTTTCGTAGACAGCGATGGGCTGAAGTGCAAAATTACCGCGGACCCACCCGCCCAGGACACCACTGCCGTGGAGGGCCCCATGCCGCAGGCCGCGCCGTGCCGGGACGCCACCGCCAACGCCCCGGGCACCGCCTGCGCCACCGCGGACGTCGGTCCTGCTGCCTCAGAGGGCGGCCCAGCGGAGGTGGCCGCGACGATGTTGGAGGTGGAGGTCTACAGGGACACGGCGCTCGTCACCCACGTGTTCGCCAAGAAGATCCACCACCTGATGATTGACCACCACGAGTGAGCACTGGGGTCACAGTGAGGTCAGGGGAAATGCTTGGGTTGCTCGCGCATATGCTTTGGCCACAACGCTGCCTGCGGTCTGCGCTCCCTTTAGGACCTGCTGGGGCGAGACAGTCGCTGTTTGCCAGCGTGTGTGGTGTGTGAGAGTCTGACTGGGCGGCTGTGGTATCTGGTCAGCATAACCTCCAGCTCAACAAACCCCCGTTTGTTGCCGGCCCAGCCTGCTGCCTGGTCACCTACCCCCCCCCCCCAAGGCTCACGCAAACTCCACTTGCTCCACGTCAATCCTTAGGTTCGGGGCCGAGCTGTGGGGGAGGGACCAAGAGGCCTACATCTACGGGAGCGTCTGGCTGAAGGAGGGCGCGGCGCGCCCCGACTTCCTCACCTTCTACGTGCGCACCTCCCTGGAGGCCGCCCTCTGCAAGCTGCGGCTGCTCGCGCCCGGGGCGGGCTGGGACGCCGCGTCGCTGCCCAAATACATCTCAGACGACCTCGCCAAGGTGCGCAGTGCCACTGCGCAGTGCCGGCGCGCCTGCTGCCGCGCCGCGGCGCCGGCGCTCCTCCAACCGGGGCGGTTGAGAATCAGCAGCGCCGCGGCGTGGTAGCCAGAGGCGTATGCGTGTCCCCGAACACGATCCACCGCTGACGCTCAGCCCTGCATGCCTCTGGCAAGCCATCGCCGCCGTCTCATTGTGCCCCACGCACGGCCATCGCCCCTCACGCCACCCTCAGGCGCTCAGGGATCTGGAGCCGCCGCCACAAGAGCCGGCGCCCATGATATTGACCAGCAGCAGGAGCAGGGCCCCGGCCCCCCAGCGCACCAAGCGCTCGCCAGACGCCGGCCAGATGGTGAGTAGCAGGGTATGCGTGTGGGCGGGGAGCAACCCGGCAGGGCAGAGACCAGGCACACCGGCGGCTGCCCTGCAGGCGACAATCATGACCGGCAGGCGGAAAACTGATAGGGGCCTTGCTTGAAGGTGCATATGTCGAGGTGATGCCGCGGCTGAGGTGCCATATGTGACTTGACTGCACATCCATCCTTTTGCTACAACATCACTGTCTGACGTCGATTGCATCACTTGCTCTGCCCTACCC